GAATCTGGTCGGACTACTCTGCTGACTAATATGAAGCACATGGATGTGTCTGTATGTGAATAAGAGAAAAGACAAGAGATACAGGAATAATAAAAATTATTTGCTGCCGTCTCTTGCATGCCTCTGAAGGTCTGGAAAGGCAACAGAGAGAACAGCAAAGCAAAAGCGATGAGTTTTAAAGTCAGTAAGGAATCACTTATCCCTGCCAAATTATTTCAGTGGTTAATTATAGGTACAAGTAAATGTCTGCATGTTCTTCCTTCTCTAATTATGGTGTTGCCTAATAAGAGAAATCTTCTCCCTTGCAATTGCTTGTATTTTTTAAAGTCTCCTCTTGGTCTTATTTCACTGAAACTATACGGCACGTTTGATTTGTTTATTTTAGAGAAGCTCCTAAGAAGGGATATAAAATCGTAAAGCATTACTTCAAGGAGAAAGGTAATAAAATCCCCTTTATTCAGTGGAAAAATAGGAGATGAAGTCATCATCTTGCATTGCAACAAAGAAACCTGAGATTAGTTTTATAGAAAAAAAAAAAAAACAAAACACTTTCCATTTGCAAGAGCAGCCAGGTGCTGTCTGATTTGCAAGTGAGACGATGGACTCCTAGTACTGGAACATTTTTAAGAACAGCTTAGACAAATATTTTCCAGGAATAATTCAGGGGAGAGTATAAACTGGGCAACCTCGCTAGTTTTCTTCCACTTTTTTTTCACAAGTAGTCATTTTTTGAGCCCTTGGCATTGCTCAGCACCATTTTTGAAGAATGTTCACCTTCTCAAACAATTAATATTTTAATTTACCTGTTCACAACAGCATCTGCTACTTCACCAATTTGAAGTCTGAAATCCTTTACCGACAGGGATTGTACAATTACTTCCTTATCACTGATGTTATACATGTAGATAAATAAATGTATGTAAGCAAATAAATGCATATATGTATGTGAAAGTCAAGCTCGCTCAAAAGCTCCCTCTGGAGCTGATCTGGGTAAGCGACCTCACGCCAGGAGGGTGAGAGCAGCTCTTCCAGCCGCCCTGCTCCTGCCATGGGGCTTTGTGGGAAATGCCTCTGAGTCAGAAATATGGCAAAAGATGAAGATCTGGAACTGGAGGTGCCCATTAGACAGCCAAATACAGGGCAAAAGAGACGGGAGGATGCTGCCATGTGAGCTGAGCATTAACAGAAGTGTGGGAGGAGTAATGGCAAAAATTTCCCAGCAGGGTTGGCTCTGCTGAGCCAAGGAACTGGAGATGGATGCCAGTCACTTCACACTTTTCCAAAATTGCCAGAGGTTGGTGTGTTGGGTTGTTCTACAAGAACATCACCTGACAAACAATATTCAAGTCCTCTCTCAGCAGCAGGTCTCGTTTCCCCTGCATAGCTCCAGACCAGTGGGCAAAAGTTGGGTGTGTAGCTCCAGCTGGGTAGCAATTCTGGTTGTCCCCATGACTTTGGAACTTGCCAACCCAAACAAAGTATACATGCAAGCATTGAACATTGTCTGGGTTAATTTTCCCTTTGTCATTTCCATACATATACATTTTTGCCTATTATTTCGCAACTTCTACGCTATCAATTATCGTTTGCAAGCAGAGTGATTTTGGAGGATCCTCTAGGCAAGAACACATTGGAAATATTCTGAGGAAATGCTTTCAGATAGTTTTGCAAACACCCACTATTGTTTTATACATGCAAAGTGTTGTGGTGTTAGGATGTTAATAACAGGCTGCCAGCATTAAACTCCACAGTATTGAATCATAGCGTCGCTTTAAAATATATATGTCAGGGCTGCCCATGTGATTCTCTGAATCAGGCAATGATGAACTCCTTGGGAATTTGGATCCCTTTGTTTTGTGTTTGTTTTTTTTTTATTTTTTTTTTTTCATTAAAAGCCAGCTCTGCATTTGTTATCCTAATCATACTATTTAAAACATGTTGGCCAAATATTCACATTTCCAAATCAGGGTGTATTTGCTGATTTAATCAGTATTATATCAACTGATGGGGCTGGGTCTGTGCTTCAAACATGGCAAGAAACGCTGCTTCATCATAGCAGGTCAAGTTGGGCACAAATCTGTACTCTAACTCTTATTCCTCTGTATTGCCCAAGCTCTCCTGAGCAATCTTAAATAAATCAGTTGCTCCCCTTTTCCTTGGCCCACCTGTACGATAAATGGGGAATGACCAGCTTTGCTTGATTTGCCAAAGCGTTGCTCCCTTACCCCAAATTTCCCACAGCAGCCTCCGCCACGCTCATCAGCATTTTCCTGACGCAGCTCTGACCATAACCACCGTGAAAGGGACTGGGGGTAGCGTGGTTTATTCCAAACCAGACTGAGCAATTCCTAGATCCTTCTCACCATCCCACTTGAACCAAAATGAGCTTTCTCCCCTCGTGTTTCTTCCTGGGCTTGGCCAGGAATGGTACTGCAGGGGAGGAGACCTCTCACGCTAAACCGGGGCTAGGGCTGCTGCTTCAAGCCCTTGCACAGTGTTATATTCTTGCCTTGGAAGAGGCGTGAACATCAAACGACGCTGTCCTGTGCTAGGAGTGTTTCTCCAAGGCAATACAGACACTACAGTCATGCAGAGTTTCTGTAAACACGTCCTAACAAGCTTTAAGCTAGCAAGTACACTTACTACTAATACTAGGTTAGGCTCTGATGCATTCTTGGACGTCATGATGCTAAGCAAGGAAAACAATCTCCTGTTTTCTAAGGAAATGCAAGGATGAGTCCTGCAGAGCCTCTGAGCGGCTGCAGCGCTGCCAAGGCTCCCGTGCAAGCCTGAGTTCAGTCCTGCGGGCTGCCTTCGCACCGTCAGGGCTACAGGAATGGGTTTGATGCTTAAAACCACGAAATTAAAGGAATCCGAGGATGGGACTGTGCAGGTCACGTGCTTGTGAGAATAGGATAATCAACACAAACAGCAAGCAAAACAATTACTGTAATTACATGTCAAATTTTGTTTGGGGAGTAATGGAACCTAATGCAGAAATATGACGTTGTTTTCTTGCATCAGCCTGGTGGTCCAGGAAGGTATATAAAACCCTTCATGATTCAGAAACCTTCCAGCTGGTTCTCTTCACTTCTCCTCGGTGAACTGAGTAAGTTGGATTCTGATATAACTTCCTAAAAACAAAGAAGTATAATTTTGAAACTTTTACATTTACTTCGGGGCTAAATTCTGGGTTTATATTCTGCGGTTCTGTACAATATGCAGGAGTTTATGTTCATTAAAGAGTCATTTGATAATTATTAATTTGGAGGCACTGATGGACTGAGGTTTAAAAATGTATTTATAATCTAGATAATATTAAAGACATCTACGTCCATCACTTCATGGAAATTTAATGCATATAGCCTTTAGGTAACCTTAAAATATTTATAGCCAGCAATATACATCTGGCAGTGTTGTTCCGACCTTGTGGCTTCCAATTTTTGTCTGATTTTGGACAGAGCATAAATATTGAGATAAGCTGTATAAATAGTGAGATAGTGAAATAGCTTCAGTCACCTTTCGGACCGGAGCCAGCTACTAAGACACAGCATCCCTGTGGATGTGGTCCTAGAGGGTTCCTGGTCTGACTTTGGAAATGCCCCATGTGGGACCCTCTTGGGCACTCGATGACAGTCTGAATGGCCAGGGCTTTGGTAAATCATCTATCAGTACAGCTACGCAGAAGAAATGGGAACCCAGAAAATATCTGCTTGAGTTGTATATCCCTCAGGAAGTTGCTTTGGGTGGTTTTGTTCTGTTTATGCAAAGCAGTGGTCTTATGCAGAACATTCAACAGGCTGTGTAAGAATATATTATCCACTATAAATGTTTTGTACTGTATGTTATGTGTTTGGGTCTGTTTTTCAGCTACGGATTTTCTCTGGTTTTCTTTCTGCTGAGGGATTTGCAGGTCAGCTCAAGAACACAGAATTAACAGATGTAGTAGAATGGAAGGGTGGGGACCTGAAGATAGTGTCTGGATTAGGGTTTAAGGTCAGGATAAGTTTAGGTGAATAATGGGTATTTTGGCATTGTGTCTAAAAAAAAAAAAAAAGAAAAGAAAAAAACCAAAACAAAACAAGAAAAATTGCTTGAGTCAAACTGAGCCTCACCCAGGCTTTTCTAATATGCACCTCAGACAAAAAATAAGTAATCGCCTTGGCTGAAACCAAAATATTCTATTTAATCTGGAAAAACAGATTAACTAGCTCCTTCATTAAGTGCTTTGATGTGAAGTTTGGATAAGTTTGAAATGACATCCTGAAATGTAGTTTTATGACATTTTCCAAATTACCTTCCCACCCTTCAATTTATTTCAAAAGAAAGAAGGAAGGTGTAGAATTCAATCCAGATCTGTGAACACTTTTGCTCCCTCTGATATTTAAATTCAGGAGACCTGCTTTCATGTTTTTGATGTGCTTCAGCTTTTCCCTTGTGATCTTGCAAAAGGCTCTTATTTGTTTAATTTTCCAGCTGAGCTTGATACTAAATACACTGTATTAAAGCCACCTGTTATAAATTAACTACACTAAAAACATGGTACCTGGGATCCTTAAAGGATTGACTCCGTCATGCATAACATAGGGATTAGATACGTCTTTCTTTCTGCCTTTTATCTGCTTAGCCCAGAGAACATGTAAATTTGCTCCAGTAAAACCTCTTATGTGTCTTCCATTTCTGCAATGCTTGGTGCTGTGTTACCCTCATTTAACTGAACTCCACTTCTGGAGTCCAAAATTACTTGAGAAAGCAGATGTAATTTAAGAAGAAGTTCCAAAGAGGTTGTTTGGTGACAGCAGGAGGGAATCGGGCTCTAAAAGGCCACAGAGAAGAAGAGTAGAGCAAAGCAGAACAGGACAGGTATCAACCTATCCGCCAACTTGTGTCTCTTCAGGGCTCACCTTAGCTCAGCTCAAGAGTTGATCCTGTCCTACTGGCTCCTTTGGTTTTATATTTGCTCCTTCCTGTACCTTGCAGGTCTACAGCACAGCAAAAAGATGTCCTGCGAGAAAACCATCTGCACCGAACCGTGCTCTGTCCCGTGCGAGGCGAGAGGCCCCGAGCCCCGTGCCGCCGCCTGCAACGAGCCCTGCGTCATCGCTTGCCCGGACTCCCGCGTGATCATCTTCCCACCTCCGGTGGTCGTGACCTTGCCAGGACCCATCCTCACCACCTACCCTCAGGAAACGATCGTGGGCAGCACGGAGTCAGCCGAGGTGGCCGGCGCCTTAGAGTCGGGAGTGGCGATTGGTTCGGGACAGAAGGGCATTGAGTGTCTGGAGCCCTGCGTCGACCGGTGTGCCCCACAGTTGGTGACGAAGTGCGAGCCCCCGTGCGTTCCCCAGTGTGCCCCTCCGTGCCCTCCTCCGTGCCCTCCTCCGTGCCCTCCTCCATGCCCTCCCCCGTGCGCTCCCCAGTGCGTGCCAGAGTGTTCCTACACCTATTCCACCCGCTGGAAGCATCCTTGCCAGAGGGGCTTCTGCAAGAACTAATCAGCTTAAACCAAAGGATAGTCACAGGAAAAGAACAAGCAAAGAAGTGAAAGAATATGGCAAGTGATTTACAGGCATGGCTACCGGAGAGGGAAGCACCCGTGAAAACCAGGACCCTGCATTTAATTCCTAGATAGTGCTTTAGCTTAGATTACTGCTTTCTTTATTCTTGTGGCTTTGCATCTTATGTCTGTGCTTTTGGCTTTCTCTACCCAGTTTGACATTGACCGTGGCTTTAAAACAAAGCACAAGTGGGGATTTGAATGTCAGACTCAGCAAGAGTGAGGAAATTGAACGTCTTGATGAAATGTGTCACACTGGAACGGGTAATTGGTTTTAGCTTTTCTTGTCTCTAGATACACGCTCTTTCTAGTCTGCATTATTCTTTCTGCATTAAATTTACATTAAAACGCTGCTGCATCAAACCGTTGGCCTTCTGAATCTCCTTTTTCCTCTGCTACTTATTTGCAATGTTCTCTTGGTGACACTCAGCCTTGGACAGAGGAACAGAAGATGGCCTCGAGACACTAGACCACCCAAAACTTGATGCCCAGGTAAATTAAGGATTTGGTTCCGCTCTTCAAAAATGAGATGTCAGTCATATAATCCAGTGAGTGGAATTCCTATTCGTAGAGAAATGTGATTCTGTATTTTCTAGGTATACACCTCTACGTTATAGCAAAATGTATATTTTTAAAGAGTTTCCTGTTCCAACTCGTAACCAGCCCTGTTTGGAGGCCTTCTTTTCTAGAAACAAACTGAACTGAGCCAGATTCAAGATATTCTTCATATTTCTGCATCAAAACTTTTCCGGCCTGCTTTTGCAAGGAACTCTTTTTCATACGTAAGTGCTAATAGTCCTGTGTGGACCTGGAGCACCAGTTTCTTACTTGCTTCCTGGACGTCCTGGTCAAAGCCCGAGGTCTGCCCTACGTCTGCCTGGCTGGTGCCAGCAGTGGGTCCCTCCGGGCAGACACCATTTAGGACAGCAGGTGTGTCCTGCTCATGCCAAGCAATTTCAGATGCTGCTTTTATCCTAAAGATTATGTTAATTTCATTCTTCCATAATGGCTATGTACGTGTGTTTGCTTATTTAAGTCACGGTCTTTTGGTGCCTAGGAAATACCGTGTCATTCTTGCAATTATAGCCAGCCAGAAATATTCCAAGACTTCCGCAGAACAAAGGGAGTCAGGATGCTTCACAAACATGCACTGGTGTATTACACATGTAAAGTGGTATGTTAATATAATGTTAATGGTATATTACTTGGGTTATGTTCCCCAAGACTCTGTAATAACTGACTTGGAAAAAAAGGTCATGATTTCAGACAAGTTTATCTCCATATCTTCTCAGGATATTTTTTTCTAGTAAACTGATGATTTTCATTGTAAAGTTGCTTTTCTTTTGTTTTATGATGATACCTTTCATGTCAATGATCAAGACACAGAGCTGTTTCTAAACAGCCTAAGAGAGGGTCTCGTGAAATACATTTGGACCCCTCAGTCCAATAGCTCCAGAAGTCAAAGTACACTCTCCAGGTGACCACATTTTCAAACAAGCTGGTTTTTTGACACTTAAAAAAACGCAGAGCAGATTTTATTTCTTTGTTGAATAGAGTTTGTTATTTCAAAGAGTGAAAACCCCACCAGCCTAAGCTAAGTCACAAACCCAACTCATTCTAGAGGTTAAACAAAACAGATATTTGAAGAAAAAGGTAAATCCAGGAAAACAAGAAAATCTGAGTAATTAACCAGCTCTAGATAAACCACTAAAGCTACCATTGCAAAGATGCTTGACAACAGCCAGGAACCCATCTTCCCATGGCTGGAAAGGTCTGATGGGGCAATTAAAAGACGTCTTCATCAGAGGATTTGGAAGTTCCTCCAGCTCTGTACTGGGGCTGCTGCCCTCCTGTGGAATCAGCTCAGGCTAACTCAG